TGGTTTCCAAATATCTTCTCCACATCCACTACGGAATACAACCTGTTGCCACCAGGTGTTCTAATACTCAATATCTTTTTGGTTGTTCCACCTTCTCAATGTTTCACATGAAATTTCGTATGTTTTTTCGAATTCTTGTGCTCCTCGGTACTTTATCGTTGACATTATCTTGCTCAAATATATGAAGCGGACTTATTTATATGGATAATTATTTTTGAAAGCGATAAAAATGATAGATGTGTTTTTTTCAGCACCTACTTTAAACAATACATATACAATGTAATTTAAGGAGCACAATTATAGAGTCCGAAAAATCCCTGTCCACCTTCAAAAATAATTACTCATATTTGAATTCAAATTCAGGGATATTCGAATCATTCGAGTTGATTCGACTCAAACCGCATAGTACCCCCTGTCATAGATACTTGGATAATTGTTTTCGAAGGCGGAAGGGATTTTCCGTAATTGTGATTCTAAAATTTGCACTATATACGCATTGTTAAAGGTAGGTGTCGAAAATCAAACTCCCTATCCGCCTTCGAAAATAATTAAACATATTTGACAAAAGAATATTGAATTATCAACAATGATGTAATAATGACAATTCGATATTCTTTGTCATTGATGATCAAAATAATATAAGATACTTACTATAATTAAAAATAACAATCAGTAAAATAAATAGCAAATAGAGATTTAATTATTAATATTGCATTGTTTACCAACCGTATATAAATTGTTTGCGTGATTTACCTAAAATTATACATATCTGGTAATTTGGTTGATAAATTACCAATAACGATTTTCTGCACCTATACGTTATTCGTTTTTGACTTACGCAAATTTCGTCAACATGATCTATGCGAATGGCGAAAAACAGGACATGTTTCAAAAAGAAGAAGATGTATTGGTGATTATTAGATACCATCGTTCTCCAGATTTTAAACACATGGTTTCGACTTTTACTAAAGAACTTGGATTTTTCGGGTGAACATAGGCAAGAGAATTGGAATGGTTGTTGGTTTCCCAACTTCCGAATGCATTTTATGATTTAAAGAAAGGTTTAAAGGTCTCGTCATCGGATTCATTGGTGATCCTTTTCTTGCAATTTTTTGAGATTTTCTACTCATGGATTATTATAGAAATGTGAAACGATCATGAAGTCTCCGGAACACGACGGTATTTACTGGAATATACGCAGCTATTTCTCTCTTCATTTTTATAATATTTTTTTCCAACAGATTCTTTGGGAACAAGCACATTGGTCATCTCTTCGAACAAGTAAGACGATCGTATAACGAGTGATGTTTTTTTTAATTCATCAGCCGTTTCCCGATACCACCTTGAACTTTTTAGTAGCGATTCATTAAAGGGTTACATTACGTTGGATGGTAGCGACATCATAAAAGGGGTAGGTTTTCGGTTGTTTTTAATGCGAAATTTCATGATAATTAATTATCCTCTTTTATAACTCGATAGGAATTACAAGTAAAATTTCCAAATTACAATCGGGGGAATTTGATCAAGTTAACGATCCACTCCAAAAAACCGTATTTCATTGAACAGGTGATTCTTTAAAATACAATATCCAACATGTTCTTGGTCTGTTCATACTGATCTTTTTTCAATTTTAGCTGGTAGATGCACAGAATTATATTACGTTAGCTTTGAATGCATTAGAATGTTCGAGTCAAGCTTGCGCAAAAGAAAGTGCGTCCGAGGTAAATAGTGGAAATATTCTGGTGTACGAGTTGTTCAATAATTTATTATGATTAGGCAAAATACTGTATATCTATCTATTAGCTTCTAGGAAACGTCCTCGAATATATATCTCATAGTCGATCAGCTCTAAATTATGTCAGTCAGGAGAAGCTGTTTCCATATAAAATTTGTGATCCACAAGTATTTATCGTATCGAATATCATTCATTATTCTCCTTTCAATGTTCCCTTCATCAAAACAATGATTTTTGTTATTTTGTAAAGATGTTCAGTTCCAACTTGCCTGAAGATTTGGTCGTTCAATTTCATGTTGAAGGGTCGTACATAGTAAATTCGGTGTATGCCCTTCAATTCCACTCATCGTTGCCACAACAAAAGAATGGTGGTATCTTGGGAACACATAAACAACCTTCCAAGGTGTGGTATCCTTGTAACAGGATGTTAGCAAAACATCATTCTTCTTTAATTAGCTTCATAATTGATCCTTAATTATGCCCATAACAATCTTAAATCTCTGTAAGTCAATATAAAGACAAGTACGTTTCTATATTGGGAGAAGTTTCAGTCAAATCACCGGATCCAAAATTAGCGGAGGTCATGGAAAGTTTGAAAAAACTGGAAAGAGATTGCTTAGCATGGAAAAGCAAAATCTCATTATTTTGATCTCGCTGAAAGGAAATATCTTTGGCGGGAGGATCATATCTTGACAAAAGCTGACAAGTGTATGACTGGAATTATTGTCCAGAGTTATTCTCTTTTGCAAATATATACACGGAATTGATAATAAATAATTTTAATAGAAAACATTCCTGATTTCATATTTTGAATTTTGAATATCTGTACTAAAAATACATGAATCTTTAATCTTGACAATTATATCAAAAAAACTAGAATTATAAATCCACTTGCAGTTAAAATGTAGAAGTGACACCGTTCACCATTAATAAAATCAATTAATTTTACAATAAGTGTCACCTATACTACATTTTAACCCCACCTGCTATCATAATCATTACCAAAATCATTATTATTATTATTATTATTATGGGTTTTCCTATTACCGAAATTTATAATTTTCTTAAAATCAAATCCATTGGATTCCTTTTCAGCGAATTCTGTTTGCACAACTCTCTTCGCATTTTCTCTACTGTAATTCAGGTTGGTTTGAGAAGGGAGGATGGATTCTTTCGACTGATTAATTGGATTTGGTTTCCATATGTTGAGGGTGGGAGGTATGCGAGAAATAGTGGAGCTTTCCTGTGGCGAAGATGGTAAGGTTATTAGACGTGGTGAAGAAGATAATGTTGACCGTGGCGAAGATGGTAAGGTTATTAGACGTGGTGAAGAAGATGATGTTGAATGTGGTGAGGATGATAAGATATTTAAATGTGGCAATGATGAAAAGGTTTTTAAATGTGGTGAAGATGGTAAATTATTTAAACGGGGCAATGATGAAAAGGTTTTTGAATGTGGTGAGGGTATTATTGTTGAACGTGGCGATGATGGTAAAGTTATTAGGCGTGGTGAGGATGGTAATGTCAGGCGTGGTGTAGATGGTAATGTCAGGCGTGGTGTGGATGGTAATGTCAGGCGTGGTGTGGATGGTAGAGTTACTATCTCTGGAGAATATCGCGAGTATGACGATACGGAGGAATTCTGTGATATCGAAGAGTGTGATGATTTGAATGTTCGATTTATTGGTGTCGACGGCTGCACTTTCTGAGTTGATGGTACAACAGATTGAGTAGATGCTGGTAGGTTCGCGTATGGAGCATTGGAACTTTCACTTAAATCTTCAAAGTCCATTGCATAGAAATTTCTAGTATCCTCTTCATCCTGATAATCGTTATAAGTAGAAATAGTGCCTTTCTGTGATATCCTTCCATTTTCAACCTGAACGCTATTCTCATTGTCAGCATGTTCTGTAGAAGTTTGATCTGTTTTGTTATTTCCTTGAGTTTCTTGATCGTTATTAACTGGAGTGAAGTCGACGCCACCCCTTTTACTAACATTCACCATGTCCTTCAAATCTGTTCTCACCGCTCCAAACTTACTGAAATTAATTCCATTCCTCCTATCGATATCACTAAACGATTGATATTCTTCGTCACGGTGTTTTTGTACCATCGATCCAGTATCACTATGCGTATCGTTATGCTCATCAAAATTTGGTTTGACATATTGTCCTTCAAGCGTTTTATCGGGACTCTCAGCCTCATTGACAATAACAAATTTTATTGCTTTATCCGTGCGATCCTTCTTACCGTTCATACTTTTTTTTCCCTTCGTATCATCCATCTGACCTTCATACGATATAATAGAATTGTCCATGCTTATTATACTTGGAGACTCTTCATCATGATTTTTGTCCTTCACTATCTGTAGATGGATCACGTTGTTTCGACACATTACTATGATGACAGATACCAGAAAAATAACGACGACGAGGAACGTCATTAAAAGAACTACAAAAGTGGATCTGTGAACGACGAAATCGTCGCTCCGTCGCTGAATTCTAGGGTAGTCGGCCTCCAGCGAGATAGTTGATTGATAGACCAAGGGAAAAGGTGAACGAGAATAAGATTGGATCCAGGTAAATTTGGAGGTAGAGGAAATATCAAGAACGTGAAGTTCTGATGTTGGTATGGATGAGTTCCCTTGTATAATCAGTCCTGATTAAAAAAACAAGGAGAGAGTGCAAAATATGTTAAACACCAAATACGCATGTAAACGAATTGCTCAATTTCTAATCTGCGCGTCAGGAATAATTTAACATACCAAAAGCAACGATCAAATTATTTCCTACAACATTGGCAGTATGAGAATATCTCGAGGGTATTGGAGAAAGTACTTCCGGAGTTGACCATCGAAAAGGATTACTGGTAGTATCAAGCACCGCTATATCCGGCGATATTGGGTTCGTGTTTACGTTATTTATTCCACCATATAGAATTAATCTTCCATCCTGTGCTATTTACAAGATATTATTGATTATTATTAACATTATTGTCACTCCAAAATTGTTAGAATTTTTTTTATGAAATCCTTAACTTGGTGATAGCGAAAATGATTCTCGACCGGCGAGAATTTGACCCGTTGCATTCTGAAACACATGAAAAATTGAAACATGAGATTCTGTAGAAACCGAAATGTGTGAATAATTTAATAATTAAATTTACCATGCTAATCCATGTACTAGTATTTGGATCGTAAATATTAAGCTAAATGTATCTTAAGATGAATAAAAATTATAGACTCGAACATTACCGATCATGTTGCATTCTACATACCTCGGACATGGATCTATATTCGAAGGCTCCATCTATCTTTCTCATCTTCCCACCAATCATTAACACATTTCCGTCGATCAGTTGAACAATAAACGGTCTCACTAATCCATGGATTTTTGGATCCACTGACAATTCACTGGTTAGTGTCGAGCTCACCAAATCGTAATAAAGAAATACGCCGGGCGCGTTAATCTTGTCACCGCTCATTATCACATCTTGTATGCCTTGAAATAATAATATTCTTTTGTCATCGCAAATCGCTTGAGTAGTCTGCCAATTCCCAATTTGTTGTTTATCACTAACTTCAAGTGTCCATGATGTAAGATTATATATCGAAATTATCGATTGTGGAGGCTTATTCGTGAACAGGTAAATGTTCTGTTCATTTTCCGGACCGCATAGCACAACAGGAGTAAAGTTGAGACCTGTGTCGTTTATTAAAGGAAGGTTATTCGTTGTTGGTGATAATTTAGTAAAGGACAACTGTTCCGGCAAAGGAGTAGAGGACGTGAAGAAAGATGATACGTCAAGAGAATAGAAAGGACTGTCGGAGTCGGTGACGCCACCGATGAAGTAAAGTGTGGAATCCTTGAGCACAGATGAATGTTCGAATCTTGGACCGGGAAACACTGACGATCGGTCAGCTATAACGTTAAATACAATCACAAGGATTATGCCCGTGTAAAGTAATAACAGATTCCCGGTAACATTAATCCGCTTCATTGTGCTCTGGGTGAGAAGGTGGCAGCGAACTAATTATGATAGCGAGGTTTAGTCAAGTTACCACCCTTGGCATTTATATGCCATTTTTGTTAATCAATTATTATTAGAAAGAAACAACAACAAAAAAAAAATTCTATGAATTAAATTGAAATCCATTTATTCGTAGTATTCCAGGGGCATCACCTACACGGAACATTCACCTTTACTAAAAAGGATGATTTCCATAAAGCCGTGACACTGAAAAATCACCATTAATTTAGATTCAAAGAATGATTTATTGAAATTCATTATTTTTTTAAATCAATGCATTGACAGTTTTGCCAAAACCTCTAAAAGAAAAGTGTTTTGGAAAACTTGATAAAAAGTCTAGCTATTATCTTTCTTGCCCGAGTAGCTTTATAATTCGTGATTGGTTATTAATTAGTTTCGTAGAAATATTTACGTGAAAATTTATTGTTTACCGTGTGTAAAAAACGTGATATTAATTATTAATTATTGTCATTTAAAAAGAAATGATATGTTAGAGTCTCATCAAATAAGATAAGGCAGTTTTTTTTTTCATTTAAAATTATCTCCTTTCTGGGTAGATCCTAATTATGACAAATTCAGTTAAGATCACTTAAAACGAACATAACAAACTCATAGAACGAATGAGTAGATCTACGTAATACTTTTGCAATATATAATTATAAAAAGAATCATAAGTTTACAAACAATGAGGGTCCAAAAAGTTACAAATAGATAGTGTGTGTCATCTTTGATCATAATAATTAAAATATACAGTCTACTTTCTGCTAGACAATATTTTTAACTTGTTAAATACAGTCCGGTTCAATAAAAATCAAAACAGACAATATATAAATACGTAATACAAAATATTCTTGATATATGAACATCTAAAGCTTATTAAAATTAAAACATATTTAAATATTATAATAATAAAAATAATATAGACAAACTTGCAAAAGTACAATATACACAATTAACTGTAAAAGAAAAAAAAGCAATATAAAATATACAGTATAAGATAATAAATTTATAAAGATATTATTATATATAAAAAAATAACTTATAAAATCTTTAACACACAATTAACAAAAATAATTAATCAAATATATTAAATACCTAAATAAAAAAATCTATATAAAAATTAAAGAATAAAATAAAAAATAATTGATTAAACAATTTTCAAACTATTAATATATTTTACAAAATAACAAATACTATAATTAATATAAAAAATTATAAAACAAAATATTTTAATATAAAAATAATATATAAAGAAATATTATTTAAATCAAACTACAATATATAATAGTTATTAAACATATATAAATAAATAATTTATTAATTCCTTTGAAATAAAAAATAACATGTATTTATTTAAATGCAACAAATTAAAATATAAATTTAATAAACAAATAAGATATATATTTTTTTAAAAAAAACCAGTACTTAAATAAAAAAAATAATAATAATAACAAAACTAAGCAAATAATAAAGATAATAATAAAATTATTTAAAGAATTTATATTATATTTTTTTTTTTTGCAAAAGACATTAAATGCAAGACATTTATTTTTTTTATTTTTTTTTTTTTGAAGGAGCAAATAGCTATCGCGCTATCATTTATTATTATAATTTTAGACTTGCAGGTTACAAGATTTATAATATAGGAAGCATGACATACATCTCTCTTTGCTAGGAAGAGTTAAATGCAGGTACCTATAAGGACCATCCCTAAGCTCCTTGGCACCATTCAAGGAATACAATAAAAAAGAATATTTAAAACCTATATTATGGCCTTAAATGGCATCTAGCTAACTAGAAATTAATTTGAATGTGTAATCATATGAAGGCGCTACAGCCACTTTATACAGGTTTGCCTCCAAGTCATGAGTAGGACTGGCACGCTTGCTTCTCAACTGTGGCTTGATGTTCGGCAGATGAAGTAGTGTTGAAAAATTTTTTGTTTGTGATTACCTTTTCATATGAAGACGCTACAGCCACTTTATACAGGTTTGCCTCCAAGTCATGAAAAGGATTTGGCACATCCATTTCTCAAGTGTGGCGGAGTGTTCCATAGGTGGAAAAAAATATATAATTTTTTATAATTTTTTTATTTTAGAGCCAAAATGTATTATATATATACATTTTGTTATTATTATTATTATTATTTGCCTCTAATCAGATTGCAATCACTGTGTTTATTAATTATTGATTTTTATACATATAAAACAATAGTATATTGAACCCTTAGATTTTATACTGGAGCTAAACTGTGCATATTGCAGTACACTCGTCAACAAGTTATTTTTTAGATTTTTATATGATCCTATATAATTTAGCTATTTACTAACTATTTTATTATAAGGAAGTTGATTCATTAAACTATTACTGCATGATATTAACTATTTTAGACTTTCCAAATCTTAACTCTCTAAGTATAATCATGAGAAATGATAAAATCGTTTCTTTTCCAAGACCGCTCCTTGGCCTTAAGAAAAATTATAGCCAGCCTACATTCAGGCTATCACTCCTACACGAACCTGTGATCCTAAGAGGTAAAAAAAAATTTTTATTTTTAAGAAAAAAAAGGGAAGTAAAAAAAATAAGTGAAAGTTTGTTCTGGTAAATAAAAACTCTTCAATATCAACTTTGATCTATCGGGATAAATCCTTTACTACTATCTGCAACTGAGTAAACCATCTAATTTCCACTATTTTCTTGCTAACCAAGAATGTTCAAGGTACTGTACTTATTACAAGACTTACATACTGCTTGAAACAAGTCTTATACTCTTTGAAAATTATTGTTTGAGACAAGACTTACATTAATGCTTGCTGTCTTCTCAAGATAATCAACAACAGAAAAAGCTTCTTATTGGATTGAGATGAGGCTTCTTTTGATTTTGAAGAGAAAAGAAACCAGTCCAAGAGGGGAAGAAGGAATACCATAATACTTCTTAACAAAAAGAACATCTTATTACCTTGTTCTTTTTACTATGTCCAATTGTATCATTGGATTTTGTGTTGTATAAGATAGGACATATGAGAGTTACATGTCTTGTTTACATTTCTTGCTACATGTAGATCAACCAGTCCTAAATTTGAGCTATCACCATTCAAGAATTTTGATATAACCAAAAATTCAGGGTCAAACTGAGATAGGCAAAATTCTTCAGAAAAATCAAGAAAAAGTTTACACACTTAAAAAGATAGGAGGAAGCTTGAGGAAGATAAGAAAAGAGTTCCAAAAACTGTATCAGTCTTTTCTAGAGTCTTAAATCTCTAGAGAAAGAAAGAAGAGTGTTTTTTCTACAGGTTTTTTTTTCTAACAAAGTTTTCTTGCCTTTAACTTTATAGATAGAATTTCTTATATTTACTTACAGAAATACAAGAAGTTTATGTCAAAGAAAGAAAAAAACAAGTGGGAGAAACTGTGGTCTCTTGGTATAAGTATTGTTAATGAAAGTATATAGACTTTATTATAAAAAAATATAAAAATTTTCTTGGAATGTCTGTTTTTTGTGTTGGCAAAGGGATCAGCAAAAAAAGTTATATATACATTTTTTTGTTTAATTATAAAGATTACAAATAATCAATATATAGTTCCAGTGGGACTATAGCACACTGATAAATGCCTAGTATATCTGTACTAAGATTACAGATTCAATTTCTGATAATGGCAAAATTCCTGTGGACCTATTTCAAGGATGATCATGGTAAATGCAAATTGCCTTATATCATGAACTGTTTATTAAAGTGTTATAGTGCTACAAAATCTCACTGGAAGTCTGGAGATCCTGTATAGAATCATCACAAAATGATTTGTCTCAAGATCTTAATAGAAAATGGATATGGCATTGGTAAGCATCAGTTGCCTGACTACTGATACACAACCAGTTTGGACCATAAATTTTCTCCTAAGCAAAAAATAACTCTTTCCATTGATTTATTTACCAATTCAAAAAACAGATGTTCTCAAAAGATTTTATATTTTTCTGATAATAAAGTCTATACACTTTTCTTAACAACACTGGTTTCCTAACCAGCAGAGCAAGCAGCAGCTATCATTTGTTCTCTTTTTCTTTTTCAAACATCTTCTTGCATATTTTTGTGACTAAATACAAGAAACATACCCAAAAGGTCTATGGCAAGAACACCTTTCTAGAAAGAAAACTGACAAGAAAAAGTACTCCAAAGATCTCCAGAAGGTTCAAAAGTCCAGAGAAATAAAGAAAAAAAAGTCTTTAGTCTTTACATTATCTCTTTAACTTCCCTCTTCTTTTTTCTCAAGTGTATTTCCTTTTTTCTGGTTTTTTTTGGGAAACTTTGCCTACCTCAATTTAACCCTGAATTTTTTATTATACCAGACTTTCCTGCAAGATGATTGGTTAAGATCACAGATTGGTTGATTACGTTAGCCACAGAAAAAGTAAACAAGACACACCTCCCATGTGATAACACCAAATCGATAATGTGTTTGGTTTTGGAAAGAGTTGGATGGTTTTTTAGTTGAAGAAGTAGTAAGGGAGTTCTGGATAAAGTTTGAAATTGTGAGTAGAGGAGAAACAATCTTCTTTTTGTTTTTCTCAAGATTCAAATCCTATTCCAATTTGATACAAGTTTAAGCAATAATGTTTATTTTGAAAATGGTTAGAAAAAGGGATCTTGAAATTATCCACTGGTTGAGTAAAGCAATAATTCCAGAAAAATATGGCTTGGGAGAAAAATCCACAATAGAAAATTAACATTTTTTTTGGTTAGAAGTCTTCAAACATAAGGTTTCAAGAAATACTCTCCAGAAAGTATCCTTAAACATTCTTGAATATTGCCTGCTTTAATGAAAATTAAACAATCTAACTGACCACAGGTAGTAATAAGTAAGTATTCATGAGAGGTCTAAATTTTGTCCACTGAGATACTATTTTAATAATAAATAGAATAGATGATAGCTTTTATTTCTTTTTTTTATATCACTTTATTTGTACACATTTG